CAGGAATTTTATCTTCAGTACTAGAGCACTGAGGCATCCTTTCACTTATACATCTACTTTTTCCCCCCAAGTTTTGTTCTTAAAGGAAATGAAGAAAGGCCCTTTATTTTAATTAAGGATGCAATTCTTTGCAAAATTAGTTATCAAAATATGCAACAAATATTTTTTGCAATTTTCTTCTTGTGCAAACACCTTCAAAAACTGCATTATTTACAATTTGGGGCTTGTATTGTCGAAGGCTTTCATGGCCGGAGTCACTGGGTTGTTGTAGGTTTTTTCAGGCTATATTGCCATGTTCTAGAGGCATTTTCTCCTGACGTTTCGCCTGCATCTATGGCAAGCATCCTCTGAGGTACCTCTGAGGATGCTTGTCATAGATGCAGGCGAAACATCAGGAGAAAATGCCTCTAGAACATGGCCATATAGCCCAAAAAAACGTACAACAACCCAATTTGGGGTTTATTGGGTGCAAAATTCATTCACAAAAGAGAAGCTATTTTTTCCAGCTATTTTCTGCAAATTTAATGTCCTACTGGTTTTGTGCAGAGAATTGCTGTTTTTTGCACAAACACAAAACCCCCCACATGTGACTATTGTGCATATCTTGAAGTCCCAAGCAACAATGTTTTTATGTGGTTTTTAATCTGTTTGATATATTGTTATGAGTTTTAATTGTTCATATGCTTAGAATGTTTATATTTATGAGATGTGTTTTATTGTTTACCTGTGCATCATTGGTGACTGGATTGATCAACAGCATGGTAAACTTCATCTTAATGAAATTTCTCATGGAAAAAATTCAGTACAATATAGTACTAATTGCATGTGCGGTTGTTTGAGTATTCTGTTTTATAAAACAGCCCTTCAAGGAATGCCCACTCAGTGCTGCTTAGAAAATATTAAAATAATTCATTCAATTTATGGAATGGCTTAAAATTACCACGAGTAATAATATCCTACTGTTAGTGCCCTCTTTCTGTTCATTAAGAAATTATATAATTAGACCGTTTACTTGAGTTATATGCATTTTCACACTGCAGTTTCAAAGAGAGCTTGAGGAACGGGGAAGAATACCAAAGACCCCAATGTCAAGGCTAAAAACTGTAACAGAGAACCCAGTACTAATCCATTTATTTCCCTGTTAATGCTTCTCTAACATTCTCTTAGCACCTTGAACATAATCCTGTATTATCTTCTACTGACAGAAATGGCAAGTTTTCAAAGTAAAGTACTCATTATGCTTAAACATATTCCAAATTCTAATTAAGACATCCTCAAAACCAGTTGTCATGGCCTTCAATGGAAATTAATTTATTCAACTCAACAGAACATATCAATGCACTTGGCGTGAGAGGCACTGCCAGTACTTGTCACCTTGCAGGAATATATGCAATTACACCACAGAAAAGCTCTGTGTGATATTGCCACTCATGCAACAGGCAAATAGTAATAACTATTTAAATGATGATGATGATGACAATAATAATAATAGTAATAAAGGTGGTGCCTTTAGAGGTTTTGTTTACAAACACTTTCACCTGCACTGAGTGTTGGAAATAGCAACCTTCCAAGCCTCCACTAACTGTTCGTAAATGTATATAATTGCTAACCTATAATGTATGTACATTTTGGTTTGCCAGTTTGACTGTACCTCTTTGGTGTGGGAGGGCCTTCAGACACAGGACTCCATTTTGTATTCAGTATGCTTTTAGACCTCAATGGAGGTGGATGCAGTTTGGGCAAAAGTATGATAGCTGGGACCCAATGCTGGCTACACAACGCAGGTCAGGATTAGAGAAGCAAAGACATGCAGTTTATAGCACGCTTCATCCACATGTAATTAAGTGGCAAAAGTATAACAGCTGAGACCCAATACTGGTAGGACAACACGGGTCAGAATTACACTCGCATAGCGAGTGAGAGACGCTGCTGTGTGCTATAAACTTAAGTATTGCTAACTGCCATTTTTTTTACCATCCTTCACTATCACTCAAACTTAACTTAATTACATGTGGATGAAGCATGCCATAAACTGAACGCAGTCTCGTGCACATCTTCGCTTCTCTAATTCTGACCCTCATTGCGCAACCAGCATTGGGTCCCAGCTATCATACTTTTGCCAATTAAGCTAAGTTTGAGTGATAGTGAAATATGGCAAAAAATGGCAGTTAGCAATAGTTAAGTTCATAGCATGCACCAGCGTCTCTCACTAGCTGCATGAGTGTAATTCTGACCCATGTTGTGCAACCAGCATTGGATCCCAGCTATCATACTTTTGCCGCAGTTTGTCTCCTTTCAAACTTCAGTTAGTCCAGTTATGCAGCTTCGACTGTATGTTTAAAGACATTAGACTATGGAATGGTATGCTGAATATATACAAGAAGTTTGTTAGTAAACCTGAGATGTTATTTTTAAAGAAGACTACTTTGTTCTTATCTCTGAGTGCATATTTTAACTAAGAGGTTTCAAGGGAGTGTATATCTTTTGGGTAACTGCAAATTTCAGCTTCAAAGAAACAACCACCATCTGCTAACCACATATATTTTTGTAGTGGCATGTCTTTATCCTTGGCAGTTTAAATAAATGGTTCTTCAGTTTAACAGCTGAGTTACCTGTGTGCCATTACATTAACGCTTGTGAATATCACTTGTTCAAAGGGTTGACTTCTAACAAGGTCATGCTTTTCTTGACTAGTGGTTTTCAAAAGGTGGTCTTTAGGTGGTCATGGAAGTTCACATTTGCCAAATGGATGTGACACAATTTTTACCTTTTTACAATAAGGTTATGGTGCAGTTAATTCATATAGGTTATGGAATTTCCAATACTGTGCACCTTTCTACTATGTGCACTTTGAACCAATCACTACATTTTTATCATGGTGCATGCTCAGTAAAGTTTCCAAACAAAAACTATATAACCTTCTGCATGATGCATATTCCTGGGTAAGGCATACAGATTTTTATTTTTCTAAGGCAGTTCCAATGGTAAATTGTTCTTTAGAACCCTGCACTTACACTCATTTCATTTTATAGATACCAGGTCACCCTCCTTCATATCCAATGGCAAGAAGATAACACAGACTCATATATAGAGCAAGTCATACTCTCTCAGCCTAAGGCTAACCTACTCTAGCATCTGATGAACCAACCTGGATATAGTATATTATTTGAGAACACAGAAATGTTGGACCACTCTAACAACTACTATGTCAGACTTCACAGGGATCATAGAAATCCACAAGCATGTGGACAACTTCAACAGAATGAAGAAACCATGAAAATGAAATAAATCTGGCTACCAGTATTTTAAAACTCTAAAATCAAGACAGTAAATAAAGAGGAATACTAAAAAAAAGAGGAAATCCAGACAAGAATCAATCAGGGTCAGTTAAGACCTCCCAACAAAGGATGCCATCAGGCAGCAACCAGTCAGCTTTTGAAGCTGCAAGGCCATTCAATGTTAATCAAGGGGCCAATTGCAACATTCACACCTGCCTCAAACAGACAAGAGCTCTTTCTCATACCCTCGACATTCCACAGATACATAAACTCCACTTGCTTAGTTTCCAACAGGCATCACAACCTGTGATGATTCCTGCCATAGATGGGGGTGAAATGTCAGGAAAGAATGCTTCTGAAACATGGCCATAAAGCCTGGAAAACTCACAGCAACCCACTACTCTAAACAAATCCTGCTAAGAAAACCCTGTGATGGGTTCACTTTATGATCGCCGCAGTCAAAACAACAGTTAACACCATTTGCTGCTGTACCTGATAAGAGAAATGGTCCTTGTCTTTCACAATTGAACTTAGACTGTTTTGTTGACTATTAAATTAAACATGAATTGAAAGAAAAAATGTGGAAGAGCATATAAATTAAATATGGGATAGTAAAAACTTGTTCTGTTGATAAATGCAGTCCTAATCTCACTTTAGGGAGTAACCATAGCCATAACAACAACAACAACAACAACTATATTTTTATACCCCACCTCCATCTGCCCATCTGGCTTGGAGCGGCTTACGAAGGGACAAGCAAAGGGACAAGCCCAAAAAAACACAGATTAAAACATAGCACAATAAGATAAAATCAAAATATCAAAATAAAATTAACATAATTAACATATCACAATAACACAACATAACATCATAAAAGCAATCCCAAGGCTGGACAGTAATAAATTTTGAGTAAGCAATTTTGAGGGTCCTTCCACACATCCATGTAACCCAGAATATCCCGGTAGAAAATCCCACAATATTTGCATTGAACTGGGATATCTGAGTCCACACTGCCATATATTCCAGTTCAAAGCAGATAATGTGTGATTTTATTCAGCTGTGTGGAAGGGGCATGACTACAATGAAATTATTTCTGAGTTGGGTCATTACTACAATCTACATTTTTAACCAGTCTTGCACAAGTTGGAGCCATATTAACAACAATGCTCAACAGCACAACAATGTTTTACCTAAACATTTCAGAGGCAAGGAAGACAGATCAAACAGTATGCTTACCTTCTTCATTAGAGTATATTAAATTATTGAAACCTGTAATTTAACTACACTGGTTACTTCTAATTAGTAGTTAATTTATCACATTGTATAATGATTGGAGTAATAACAATGGCAATGATGATTTTAATATTGCAAAAACTATTTTACTTGTAAACATAGTTGTTTGATAGTTTAATGAATTCCCCATAAAAATTTAATGCAATACTGTCTCCTTGGTGTAAACCTGTGTTGATAACTTAATTGGAAATGTGCAATTCATAATGCTTTCCACAAATAACAAAAATAATTATGATCATCTATGTCTTTACCTATTAGACCAGAGTTTTATGGAAAGGGGGGGGGGAAGGATTTGGGAGGCGGGGGATGCACTTGCTACTATGGTAATAGGAGACCAACATGTTATACATTCATACATTATCAAAGAACACATATTTTCTATTATTTAGCATACTTTTTGTAACAAGAAAGTCACCTTTGATTCCTTAC